CTTCGCGGAATCCATCTATATCGACCCGGTGAACCGTCAAGCCTACACGTTCGTATCCACCAGGGAACAAATAATTGAGCACGATGGAGCAAATGGAAATCGAAGTGATGATCCATCAGCGAACTAGCGAGACTCTCTTTTGTAAGGCTTTTGACTTCGCCGAAAGTGTGTAACAGCAGTGGACGCTCGGTTTCACAGACGAAAAGAGACACTTTTGAGTATTAACGCGTTTCAGCTTAGGACAAACGAAAGAAACGTCGGTGAAATGTGGGGATGTGAGGATAGACGGTTGGGAGTGTTGTATGGAACACGGGAGAAGAAACGTTGAGAAATTTGGAACTTACGAGGGAATATCTCCAAGTGATAATCACCGATTTTTATGAAACTTCGGTGTATGGTAGTTCTGGAAAAAATATTTGATACGTATTTTTTTATATTGGCGATCTTCCACAGTGAATGGGTGAAAATCGTTTGAATCACTTTGAGATCTTCTCACTTAGATCACTTTGGGATCTTCTTCCTTAGATCACTTCGGGATATTTCTGCCTAGATCACTTTGGGAACTTCTCACTTAGATCACTTTGGGATCCTCTCAGGTAGATCACTTTGGGATCTTCTCGCCTAGATCACTTCGGGATATTTCTGCCTAGATCAGTTTGAGAACTTCTCACTTAGATCACTTTGGGATCTTCTCCCTTAGATCACTTTGGGATCTTCCCCCTTAGATCACTTTGGAATCTTCCCACCTAGATCACTTTGGGATCTTCTCGCCTAGATCACTTTAGGATCTTCCTGCGTAGATCATTTTGGGATCTTCTCCCTTAGATCACTTTGGGATCTTCCCCCTTAGATCACTTTGGAATCTTCCCGCCTAGATCACTTTGGGATCTTTTCGCCTAGATCACTTTGGGATCTTCTCGCCTAGATCACTTCGAGATCTTCTCCCTTCACTTTGGGATCATCTCGCCTAGATCACTTTGGAATCTTCCCACCTAGATCACTTTGGGATCTTCTCGCCTAGATCACTTTGGAATCTTCCCGCCTAGATCACTTCGAGATCTTCTCCCTTCACTTTGGGATCATCTCGCCTAGATCACTTTGGAATCTTCTCGCCTAGATCACTTTAGGATCTTCCTGCGTAGATCATTTTGGGATCTTCTCCCTTAGATCAGTTTGGGATCTTCTCCCTTAGATCACTTCGAGATTTTCTCGCCTAGATCACTTCGCGATATTCTCGTTTAAATCACTTCGAGATCTTCTCTCGTTAGACTTTCCATATTTTAGACCCTCAAAAACCTTTCCCCCTTAAACTGACATTTTCTCACCTAGATCACTTCGAGATCTTCCCCCGTTAATCTTTCCATATTTTACACCCTCGCAAACCCTTCCCCCTCAAACTTACACTTTTTAACGATACAATTAAAACAACCAAGTTCAAATCCCTTGCACGAGCTAATTCCGTTGTCTCTTAATTTAATCATCGACGCTGATCGATCGCTCGAGTGGAGATGATATTATAAAGACGCCCATCTCCCTGAACAGTTGTAGCAGGTTTAGGAATTTCAACGATTAAGCCTCACAAAGAGGTACATTGTTACACAGAGATTGTACAAGCAGCTGAACATTATTCCCGGGCGTCGCGATAACCAGGTATATATCCTTAATCTCGCCTCGTTGACTTAGCATGAACTTCAAGAGCTTATGCTGATTAGCAAACATAGCCGAGTTTCGAGTATGCTAATCAAAATTAGGGGAACCCCGGCTGCTGTGTTGCCTCATGTCGAAGATTCGACTACCGTGCATAAATCACAATGATATATATAGAAGGTTTGTACACAGAGCTCGGCGTTGTCGACGTTAAACAATAAACAGATTAGTTAAAATAATTTCAAACCGTGATGCAGTTCTTTTTTTTCGGCGAGCTCGAACGGAGACAGAGATTAATCGTGAGTGGCTTAATTACCTCTGAAACGAGTAGTTAACCAAAACACAAGAGGGTAGGGGGAGAAAAAAAGCACACCCCCTCTGCTCGACGAGCTTAATTAACGCTTTAAGCGTGGCTCGCTGTGAGCGAACGCAAACAAACGTCAACACGTTGCTTTATTCAAACAACTTCGTTGCTCCTTTCCATTAATACAAGTTAATAAGGTCACAACGCCTTTCTTCGTTACACTCTTGTTCATCATGAAACACGAGATACTTGACGAGGAAGATTTAGGGGTCTGGGCGGAAGTTTATAGAGGAAGAACGTGATTAATACCTATTTCTTCGTTCAGCTACTTAGTTATTTTGCCAGAATTTTTGGAAATTTCGGAATTCTGCGATGCGCCAGCTTTGGAGAAAATGTGCAAGCTGGAAATTTCTGACTATTTTAATTATACTGTGAAAAAAGGGCCTGATTAATACCTATTTATCTATTTTTCCAGAATTTTTGTAAATTTGGTAACGTGCCAACTTTGGACAAAATGTGTAAACCAATCATTTTTGACTGTTTTAATTATACTATGAAAAGGGGCGTAATTAACACCTATTTCTTCGTTGAGCTGTTTTTCCAGAATTTTTGTAAATTTGTGAATTCTGTAACGTGCCAACTTTGGACAAAATATGTAAGCCAGTAATTTTTGACTGTTTTAATTACACTGTGAAAATACCAACTGCTAGAGGAAGAACGTAATTAACGAACTATGAAACTATTTATTTATCCTTCGAGAGTTCTACAAAATATTCCACTTAATTTAACCCCTTAAACTAATCCTCGAAAACGCACAATTTTGTTTAATTACTTTCCTTCACTTTCCATATTCCGCTATCCTTTCTACTCCACAGCAAAAACGTAAGTCAGAGCATTAGAAGTAAATGAGAAACTTACTTCCATAACCTAGAAATTGATCCTTTTCAGCACATCGAGGTGACAAAAATATGAGCCTTTAAAACGATAAAAACGTCGCAAACCAGTCATTCTTAACTATTCCAACACTGAAACACCCAGTCACACCTTAATATTTCCTTTCATTTACGCTATTCGGCATACCTAATGCCCCCCAATCGCGAACTGTTCAAACGTTCAAATATTTCATCGGTGACAGGGTGTTCAAGCGTTGGTTATTCAATCAGGTACTCGAAACAGGTACCCGTTAGCAGTAAGCGATATAACACGTAGGATACATAATCTTGGTAGAAATGTGATGGTGTTCGATCGGTGAACAATTCGGTGAAACTCGACTGTGTATCTGTTTTCAGATATCGCCGGTGGTTACCTGTGCTTTGTCGTGAGCATATTCGGGATCGGTGTGGTGACGGCGGTGATCGGGGACATCGCATCCTACTTCGGCTGCACTCTGGGAATCAAGGATTCCGTTACCGCGGTGGTTTTCGTCGCACTAGGCACCAGCATTCCCGGTAAGTTGAGCACGAGCTATTTCAACCGGTTAGACGAATTTTCTACATGACGTGGCGCAAACCGACTGGTGACAAGTCTCGAGAGAGAGACCTCCTTTCAATGATGACGAATTAAAGAGAGGGAGAGAGAAAGGTTAGCTGGTACAATTAGCGCTAATTACCAGCAGGTTATTTTGCGCGTAAAATCGGATCACTTCACCCTTTAACGATTGTTCATCCTTGGGAAAGTTCGAGGAAAAAGTTGGCGGAAGGTAGAGCTCACAAGTAGCACGGTACAGGATTACTTTGAAAATCTATTGTACAGGCTGGTCCACTTGTTACGAACTTTTAAATCGAGAACGATGGGGACTCGAGTAATTAGCGGAAACGAAGGTTACGCGGTTTGAGGATGTAGGTGTGTTTGATGATTATGGGGATAGGTCAAGGTTGGTGGAGTATTTCGAGGTTATCAAGGTTTTAGTTTACTATGCAAGAATGTAAAAGGTTCGACAAATTTGGATCACCGATTTAGCTGAAACTTTGCTTACCGGTAGATTTGGTTGTTACCATAGAACTCCTACATTAGTCACACACGTTGCATTCACCAAAATTCCTTCGGGCAGTTACAGCGAAAAGCCACTCAAGGGTAGTGCAATAAATCAGGTAAGAACCGGGCGCGTCACTCGAGACTGTACGAGGCACCGAGAGCCCGACGCTCGAGGATGCCCGTGGGTCGGAGTGCCACGCGTCTGGTTCATGTCTTCGACATCCTTCGATGCCCCAAAAAAGGGGCAATTGTCTAAACTTGGGTGGACTCGCTGTACTGTCCGGAAAATTCCCAAACTATCTATCCTTGTCTCGATCTTTCCTCCTCTAACCCATTTCCACCACCCCGAGGACAGGAGAGGGAAGCAGCTTAAAAAACCAACGCGCTTCCAGCGTGGACACTCCCCGAGGACAGGAGAGGGAAGCAGCTTAAAAAACCAACGCGCTTCCAGCGCGGACACTCAGTTGCATATCCTTGCATCAAGGAACGCCCCTGTACAGAAACCCATAGACAGTAGTCACTGTCGCAGCCCCTATCCCAGGTAAACTCCTTGAATGGACTGACCGAAACCGGGGGCCCTGAGGTACGGAAGGTACGTAACATGGTCACCCTGTGTATGAAAATTTAGCATTACAGAGGTAGATACTAGATAATTTTTCAGATATTTATCAATTAAAATTTCACCAATCCAAGATGAAACGCACTTTTTCTCCCGCTACAAACCACTCTGCCATTTTCCACGTTTACACGTGTAACAGGGAAACTTTAATAACCCTTTTGCATCCGGGATACCCCAAGATGTCTCGCGATCTGATTTAGACACCGACTCCTTTGGACAAAATATCTCTCGCCCCGGTGAGAATCTCCTCCGAAGTTGAAAGTCTCGTTAAAAATTCATTCTCCGGGTACCTTGCCCTAAGATAGGAAAGGGTTAACGACGAAAGCCCGCGGAAGGCTGTCAGAAGTATTGAAACGGCGCATTTGTCAAACTTGTCAGATCGGAGTCGCTCTTCTTCCAGCGGTTTCTTGTCCGGAATCTCCAAGGTGGTTCGAAATGGAAACGACACCGGCCGGATACGTAGCAACCGCGTGATAAATCTTGCAGGAGATCGCGTCACATTCGAGAATGTGTTCAGCCGTGTGCCGTGGTCGAGATGCAGGTTTTCCTGGTGGTCTCTCCTTTCTTCAGACCACGGTAGACGTTTACCGGTGACGTTTAATGCGAGAGGGAGAAAAGAGTCACATACTTCGGAGCTTCGTAGGGAGACATCCGAAGTCTGAAAGTTAAGCAGCCGACGCTACGGCGACTCGGGCTGGTTCAATTTTTATGAATTTCTGCCATGTTTGGCTATTTGTCTTTCTTAGGATTTCTGTGTTGATCTCGATGCTGTTTTGGATATTCTTGGATAAGAATGTTAGGTTGTACCACGTGAAATTGCTGAGGAACTGACGATCAAGTGTGATTAGTACACTCTTGTTACCTTTGTTTTTAACTGTTTTGTGTAAGCAAACGATATCGTGTCTGTGCCAGTGAAAAGGTGAAAAGCCAGTCACTTTTATAAAATTAGAATAGGTCAGTTGGTGCCCCCTTGGTGAAAAGTTATTAATACTAAAATACAAAAATTGCACATTTTGATTAAATAAAAATAATTAGTTTTGAACACATGCACGTAGTTATTATTTCGATCTACAAAGACAGATCTCGTTGATCTATGAAAACAGCAATTTCACGTGGTTCCTAGCCTAAACTACTAGGTTAGGAATACAATTAGACGATAGAATTTTATTCTATTTTAATGAAATAAATTCTTATTCGTAAATTAATTATTATATACGTGGCACAGCGTGAAAACGATGGAAGTAAAGAAAGAAAGTTTCTCTCCGCAGAACCCTAACCTGAAAATGTCTACATTTAGAGTCACTCCTCCCAGAAGCAACCTAATTCGTAATAATCCAGATATTCGCAGGAAACGTTGATATTAACAAGCGGGCTCGAATAATTTTTTTTAACGAAATATTATAATATTAATTCCTTGGCCCGTTTACCCCGGGCGAAATACCGTCTCTATTCATCAGGATGCCGGGCTATTCAGCCCCGAACGCATTTATTCCAGCGGCGCACGTATGGAAGAGGAGGCCTCTTGCAGGAATTTGTAACGGCGCGGTCAAGACGCGCTTTTTCAGGAAACGAGCTTTTGAGGAAATCAAGTATCACCTTATTGTGCGAAGGAAGAGAGCGAAGCCGCGATAAGTAGGCCTCTTTTCACTGCCTTTCAGACCCTTCCCTTCGCGATTTCTCTCTTCCTCCCCCTTTTTTTCTCCTTTTTTCAAGGCTCGTTTGTTCGGTGGAAAAGGCCTGTGCATAAAATTTCTTCCACAAGAGTGGAGATTCTTTTTTAACAAGCCCCCGCGTGTAGCGCGTGTGCGAGGTATCCGTCTTTTGCATAACTATAAATTTAGCCCGGTGAATAAACGCGATCCAGGTGACGTGCCTCTGTGAAGGTAACGCGCGAGGATTGCCCCGATGAATATCGATAGAAAATTCCACCTCTGATGAACGTGGATAAAACGTCATATCGTTTTGATATATGCTAATAACAAATGTCCAGGGTGCAATTGTCAAATCCAATACGCGCGGTTCTAAATCAATAAAGGGAAATAACGTCGAGGAGGTGTAATGCCAGTTTCACGCTGATAAATCCGTCACACTTGATTCGCACGAATCTGTTCGGTGTCCTTTTTCACAAATTTCGACGTTCCTCTGTGGAAAATCCAGCACAATTTTAAGTCCACTCTTTTGGATCACCTTTCTGTATTTATCAGGTAACCCACGAATTCTCTCTCCCAAAAAATACGGCGATTTTTAGTCGATGACACTGTTGGGTAGGTGAACATTTGGTCTATGACTGCCAGTACAAGAATTGTGTTTTCTAGATTTTGGGGTTACACTCATAGCGTATCTATTTTAACCCTTTGGACTCCTTTGTCGAGTGTGACTCGACACCAGCTTTATTCACAGGTATGAATGAAGTAATTTTTAAATTGCCAGTTTGAATATGTATTATATTTTGCAATATTTTTTTTACCTGGATGAGCAATAGGTACACATACGTGTATATATGACCCTTAATGCTATTTTCGATATAATGTGGCGACCGTCACGGGGGACCTAAGTACGCACCTAGGCCTGGCAACTCTTGGCCCTCGAGGCGAAGAGTCGAGAGATGTTTTCCAAACATCTCTGGGTTTCTTCGTCCTCGAGGACAAGAATATCGCCTCGGCAATGTAGGCCCGCGCCCCACTTCCTGGGACTTTCCCAGGGAAAAAGGGGCTGCTTAAGGGAGCCCCGAAAAAGGCACGAGGCTTTTTGTCGTAGACCTTCTTTAAAAATAGCTTAAGCGTTATCTGATTTAAATAAATATATTTTTGTTAAGCAACCTTGGTGTAATAATTACTTTTACACCACGTCACTTCTAAAATAATTAGTAAACAAAATTGCTTAAATTCGTTCCTATCAACCAAATGTCCCTTCAAGTGCATCTCAAATAAATTTCTTAAAATAGTAGGGAGTTATAGAAAAGAAAATTTTAAAAAAATTTAGAGTTCAAAGGGTTAAAGGGGAAAGATGCGGATGACGAAGTCCTTCCTAATCAAGGATTAAAACAGCCTCTCAATGGTCGAACGTTAAATAATTACCAAACGCGTAGTCATCCGACAATATCGTCAAGATTTTATGAAAAAAGGCACCGAATTAATTTCTACATCTAACAATCCTAAATTTCCTTTCATCAAAAATACGTATCTTCGAGTCTGTCTCTCTTATCTTTGTACCCTAACGAAGAAAGCAAAGGAAACATCGCGAGAGTGTTCAAACGGATAATTGCGGCAGCCAGGCCAGCGATGGAGGACGAAATTCGAACGTAGACTCTGTAAAATCTGCAGGAACCGATTTATCGCGATAATCATAGGCATATAGCGACAGTGGTCTGTTGACGTGCAATACGCAAACGCGCAGAGACCAGTGATAAACGCGTTTGCACACGGTTGCTCGTGGTTTTCACGCGACAATGCGTTTCCAGGACGATTCTATCCGTTTCCGTGTGACACCCGGCTTTACACTGCGAAAACAAACCGACACCGGAGACGCTTATTCTCGTCGACGGATCCGTGAAATTCCACCGCTATATCTCTTAATTCCGACACATGCAGAAAATAGATTCGCTGTCTAACAAATATCGTCGTTTATCATCGACGTTTATCATCGGCTCTACGCGCGCTCTGATTGGCCAGTGTTTTTCCTTAATAATTCAAAAACGAAGCTTCAACAAATATTTTGGTAAAGGAAAAAGTTGTTCAGAGTCACCCCAGCAACCCCCCATTTCCGGGTGTTCGAGGAGTTATGTGACACCCTGTATACGAAAGACGTACAAATATTCTGCATTTTTCTTACCCTAACACCTTGTTTTATTTTTTT